CAGGCGTCATTCTGACTGGGCTGTGGCTCTCAACACAAGGCATTTTCTTTAAGTAGAAAACTTGATACAGCATCTCCTAGTGTTACCACTTGGAGAGTGAGTCCTTGCTTCCCGAATGCTGAAGTACAACAGTAGAGAAGCAGCCGAGGCAAGTGTAGAGTGTAAAGTGGAAGCTTTATTAAAGGACAGAAGAAAAGACTTCTCCTGGAGGAAGAAGGGGACCCAACAGGAGGAATCCGTGGAAGGGGGAGGTCTTCCCTTTTTTGTAGCTAAGGTCTTCTTTCAGTTTTCCCACGCTCCTGTCTTTTGTTTCCTTTTATCTTTCAGTGATAGAATGCAGGTGGGAAGGCCCAAAAGGCTGGAGATAGGTGGACTGAAGGAGTAATCTGGGGCAGTTTTTGATTAGCACCTCCTTGTGTGCTGGGAGCTGCTTCATTAACTTTTCCTTAGGATGGGCTCCGGCCTTGGGGACATTAACATTTCACTTTCCCCAAGTGGTTTCCTGGACTCCATTCTCTGTAATGGTCTCCATTTTATTTATCTTACTCAATATTAGAGCCAATTTACCTAACTATACTAACTGCCTATCTGTAAATCTGGCTTCATTAGCAGAAAAAAAAAAAAAACTACTTGAATCGTTTTTGTCCAGCAGAATGAAAACATGGTTTAAAACTTGAAAATAATAGCAATGCTCCTTCACATTTCAATACTTGGTGCTGAAGCCAGAATTAGACAGGCAGTCAGTATAGATTGGAAAATCAAATCAAGTCCAGATCCGATCTGGGAGGCCAATTGTGAGTTGGGAAGTTGGAGACTGTCCCCTGAGGGATTGAAATGTGAATTCCTCCAGAGCCCTTCCTCCACTCCATCAAGATACCCAGCCCCAGCTCCAACCTGTTGCTAAGGTAACCTGTCCCAGGAATTGCCTCTCCCTACGGGGAGCTATAAGGTTGCCCTGGGCTGCACCATCCTGCCCTTCCCCCTTCAGCCCACCGGTTTCCCACCTTTTGGCTCTCCCAGCCTGCATTTCCTAGGCCTGGTTACTTACACAGGAAGAAGAGAGATCAGGGGAAGAGAGCAGAACAAAGGAAGCCTAAAGCTAAGACATATGAAAAAGGCAGAATGCTTCTTGGGGTACCAAGATACCAGCTATGGTCCCCTTCTCCCTCTGGGGAGAAGTCTATGTTACCCATTTTTAAATAAACCCTGCTTTATATGCTTGCCTTGGTGTGCTTCTCTAATGTTCAAACTTTCACATGTGAGGGAGCAGAACCGATAACCAGCGGTATCAGTGCTTTCCTGATACATTTTCATACATCTCTCAATTAACACTCTGGACAGTCCTTAGGCAGGTGAGGCAGCTTGACATTTTATAGGCCAGACAGCTCAAGATGTTCCAGGTCCTCTGGCTTCTGATCTCGTGCTTTCCCCCAATAAGCCTTACTGCAAGTGTGAGAAAAAATGGAGCACGATAAGTAATTTCCATAAAAGCATCACTCCCTTCGAAGGTGAGACTTTAAGAAGTCAGTGTGTCTCCATGATGGATAGAGGCTCACACAGAAATAGGAGTGCTTTTTTTTTTTTTTTTTTTTTTTTTTTTTTTTTTTTTTTTTTTTATTGTTGGTCGTTCAAAACATTACACAGTTCTTAATACATCATCTTTCACAGTTTGATTCAAGTGGGTTATGAACTCCCAACTTTACCCCGTATACAGATTGCTGTTTCACATCAGTTACCCTTCCATTGATTGACATATTGCCTTTCTAGTGTCTGATGTATTCTGCTGTTAAAGCACTGTTGAATCGTCCTCCCAACACAAGAAAATACGAAACACACATCATCACACACATTTGCCCTACCACAAAATTATTTGTCAAAACTATAAGGTTATTAAGGAACTTTGAGAGTGTTATTGGTGGTTGCTAAGTTACAAAGATCCCCTGATGAGCTGCTGTGTATTTCCAGAGTCTTTTCTATTAAGACTCATTATCTTCATCTAGTTTTTTCAGATTGTAAGAGAATTTAAAAGCCATGAGTGATCATATGGATAAAAATAAAAACAGATGAATAAGCTAATAAGAATGCAAGACAAGAAATTTTCTTCTTTCTAAGAATTATTGGTAATAAACATGTCTAAAAAGCATGCTTACTGTGTAAGTAAATAAATGCAAATATGTGTGATCTGATTTAGAAAAAGACAATTTTATCTTTTGAAAGCTTTTTCATTTTTGCTTCTAGTTAATAGAGCATTTTTTAATCTCTTCAGAAATAGTCATAATTGGACCTTTTATATCACTTCATGTTTTTCAGTTGACTTTAAAAACTAAACATAAGAACTATGATTTAAAACTAAAGATTTATAAATATTTTAAGAAATACAAATTATTTATAACCTATCTGAGCCAGATGCTAGAGACATAGAAGCAAATAATATATTCCTTCTCCATTCTAGGAGTTTATGGTTTAGTGAAATGACTGAAAGAGAATATGAAATTATTATCCTTGAAATTGCAATTTTGTCAGCAAGATGAAGACTAGAAGATATTGTGGAAATCAAGGAAGATTTCAGGAGTAACATCTAAGCCAAGAGTGCAAGTCAGAGTGACTTATTTATCTTATTTATTTTCCTTCAGTTGCAACAAGGTTTATTGGAAAGGACGCTATAAGCAGTGAGTTCAGTTTGGAGACAGTGATACCAGTATTGGAAGTCAGAATCATTTCCACCATGTGGAGGAAACACCAGGCAAGGTAGAAAGCAAGTTTTATTTAAGAAAGAGACAAAACAGAGGTAGCAGACTTCTCTGGAGAAAAGCCCCCAGAGCTGGGTGCCTGCAGGAGTGGGTGTGACTTGCTTTTTTATAGACCCCACAGAATCTCCCACCTGCTTTTTCTTCTCCTAAGGGCAGGAAGGAGCAGCCCAGTGGGTAATCACTGGAGAAGTGTGATCTCCCCAGGTGTTAGCAACCATTTGGAGGTGAGGGTGGGAATGCTTCAGGAAGTGTTAGCAACTCATGCCCCACCTCCAAAGTACAACCCTGTAGGCTAGTTGCTAGCAACCGACTTCCTCTTCTTTGATAATCAGCCCTCATCTTCCCATTCTGAGCATTTACTATCTCTGCTGACTACCTCTCCCCTTTGCTCCTGTCTCCATGGAATGGAGATGACGGAACTCTGAAATTAAAGAGGAAGGACATAAGCATTCTATATCCTTCAAGTTATATATTTTTCTTGGATTAAATTTAGAAATAATGAATTATTATACATTACTGATATAGCTCCATTTCAAAGAGTGTTTGAGTTTTTTATTTTTTTGAAATTTTTCACCTCTAGGTTCATAGATTCTTAGAAATCAGTACAACCTACAAACTATTTGGATATACCTGGAGTAGGGTGCTTAGATCTAGTCTGGTTCCCCAAATAAAAACTAGTTAATATCCACTTACTTCCTATTACCCTTTTTGGTAAGGATTAAACAGAAGGAACTCCATGACCGTGCCAGTTGAATCTGGCTCGTTGGGATATTTGGCTGCTATCTCTTTCCTGATTTCTCAGGAAGGTTGGGGAATTTAGTTTGGGGATGTGAAGCTAGGCGTGATGACCCGTTTTGATTTTTAGTGTGGTCTGTCAGGCCCAGTCCAGGAGCCTAGCCCAAGCCACAGTCCCCTTTAACTTTTGTTTAAGACACTGAAAGGCAATGAGCAGGAACAGTGCTCTGGGTGAGCAGGATTCAAACATGCATTTGGTCATGAACTTCATGTAAGAGGAGAAGTGGCCAGAGACTAGTCTAAATTTGATACTGGAAAAACTTCCAACATTTTAGCTGGATGTTTAAGAGGAAGGATTAAGATCTCAAGATCTTAATCTGGGAAAGAGACTTGTGGGAGGAGAGTCAGCCCAAGGCAGGCAGAGTGTTGTTTTCCACATCACGTTCAAAGGAAGCACAGGAAGCCCTGAACAACTCCCCTGGACTGGAAAGGAAGTAGCTTGTGCTTGCACCACCCTAGTGCTGCACAGTGAACTTAGGAACCCTGGCAGGAGTAGAGTCTCTGGATGAGACTGATTAACGGCAGAGGCTCCCTCTCCCCAGGCTAATTCACTGCTGAAAGTCACACTCCTCAATCCCGAGTCAGTACTGAGCTTCCTCTAGGGTCCTGACCCTCAAAGACACAAGCCAACCATGCAGCGTCAACATGATCACTCTGGAAGCTTTTAATTCCAAGCGGCGTTCTTCTTCCCCGCTGGCATTGAAATGTGTTCCAGGCGTGCCTTCCCCAGCTGTGTGTCTTGGCCTGCCCTGTCCAATTTTTACAGTGTCCCAGAGTCACTGGCACAGGATACTGGGTGACATCTCTGCACCAAGGATTTCTCCTCGAGGCAAACCACATCACTCAGAAACGGCCATCAAAGACAGAGTATTGGGATCACCTCCTTAGGGGCTGAATTGTGTCCCTTCCTAGATTCCTGCGTTGAATCTAATTCTTCAGTGCCTCAGAACACGAGGTAATTAAAAGAGGTAATTAGAGTAAAATGGAGCCATTGGCTGGGCCGTAATCTATTATACCTGGAGTTCTTATAAAGAGAGCTGATAGGATATAGACAACACACACAGAGGGTGGCTCTTATGAGGACACAGTAAGAAGGTGGCCATCCGCAGGCCAAAGGGAAACCTCACAAGAAACCAAATGTGCTTACACCTTGATCTTCAACTTTCTTCTTCACTCCCTTCTTCCTTCCTTTCTTCCCTTCCTCCTTTCCTCCTCCTCTCCCTCCTTTATTTCCTTTTTTTCTTGCTTCCTTTCCTTTCTCTCTCTCTCTCTCCCCCTCTCTTAAGTGCCAGGGATGGAACCCAGGGCACTTAGCCACTGAGCCACATCCCTGCTAAGAGCCACAGCCAAGTAGTATGATGCATGGCATTTTTGGTTGATAGGTGAAGCCAGCAAGCCATTGAGATGATATGATTATGTTAAGATCTGCATTCTTATGGATATTAGACCCCTGCTGTCTACCTCGGCCTGCTAAGGAACTCCTGGAGAGTTCCCATTGGTTGGGGAAGTGAGGTAGGAGGGAATTTCCGGAGGAGGGACTTCCTGTTGGGGTCCGGGAGAACACTGCGTGTGTCGGTGGGCAATTTTCCCGGGAACGTTCGGGGCATTGGCTGCAGTTTCAAAAATAAAGTTTGTTCCTGCTTGAGTGGCTCGTGATTTTGTGCCCAGCCAGACTGCGGCACATCCCTAGCCCTTTTTATATATTTTATTAGAGAGAGGGTCTCCCTGAGTTGCTGAGGCTGGAACTTGAAATCCTCCTGTCTCAGCCTCCCAAGTTGCTGGGATTACAGGTGTGAGCCACGGCACCCAGCTTTCCCTTTCTCCTTTCTTTCCTCCCTTTCTTCCTCTCTCCTTTCCTTCTCTCTCACTCCATCTCTTTCTTTCCTTCTATCTTTCCTCCCTCCTTCCCTCTCTTTCTTCCTTCCAAGAAATTGTGACCAGCTTTTACTATGAAGAAGCAACAATGATTAGAGCAACGTAGACATGACGCAGATGACCTCAGTGCCTCATCTGTCTTCCTGGGACCTAACCATGCCGATATTGGCCCACAGACCACCACTGAAAATGTGCCAAGGGAAAGAAGCCAGACACAAAAGGTAACAGGCTTCACGATTCCATGTACATGAAATGTCCAGAAAACATAAAGACAGAAGGCAGAGTAGTACTTGTCTGGAGTTGGGGGAGGGATGAATGTGGAACGACTGGTTAGTGAGCAGTTTCTTTGGGTGGTGCTGAACATATTCTGGAATTAGCTGTGATGGGTGCTTTGTGAGCATATTTAAAAACACCGAATTTTGCACTTTTACGTGGTTAACATGGTGAGTGTTATCTTAGTACAAAAATGTAAATACTCTGAAGTTTTGATAGAATTTGATCAGATCATGCTAAAGATTGATACTTGACTTTTTCTTTTTAGAACAGAACCGACTCACAAAACTGTGGAGATGGACAAGTCCAAAATCTGTAGGGTGAAACAGCAGGCTGGAGACCAAGGAAGAGTTAATGCTGCAGATCCAGCCTCTGGCTGTTAAGAATTCTTCCTGGCTTGGGAGATGTTCAGTCCTTCAACTGACTGCATGAGGCCCACTCGCATTATGTGTGGACTTCTTTACTCACAGTCCACCCATTTACATGTAAATCTCATACAAAAACATGTTCACAGAAACATCTACAATAATGTTTAATTGAATATCTCAGCATCAGGGTCCAGTCAAGTTGACACATAAAAATTAACATATATCCTATTGCTCCTGTTTTTTTCTGGAAACTACTAACTAGGAAATCAGCTGACAGTTCAAATTCTTGGCATCATGCTTGAGAGTCTGAATAATAGAATCATCCAACCCAGCAAGATGAGTAAGTTTGTCAATTTAGAGTAGGCTAATTAATATAGAACGAGGTGTGTGTTGGGGGTGGAGAATGAAGCATTTTTACTTTGGTATTTATATTTTGGGATGGTGGGCATTGAAACTCCAGTTCTCTCACCACCATTAACTGTACTCACCTCGTTCACCATTTATTTAAGAGGTTCCAGGCCCTGGGATTACACAGAAAACAAGGCAAACTCCTCTCTCCATGGGTTTACATTCTTCTTTTTTTTTTACACTGCAACAGATGTCAGTTTCTCTTTCTTTCAAATATGGTATGATTTACCTTTTCTTTTATCCCCCAGATTTATTGAGGTATAATTGACAAGTACAAATTATACATATTTATGGTACAAAATGTAATGTTGAGTATTGTTATCCAGTTAAAAATAGTTACCTCAACTATTAACATGTCTGTCACCTCAAATAGTTATTGTCTTTATTTTGTTTTGTGGTGAGAACATTCATGATTATTCTCTTAGGGCTGGAGGTTTCACTCAGTGGTTGTTCCATCCCTAAAACCACAATTGGAAAAAAGAACCCACATTATTCCTTATCAATTTTTGCATGTATGATACATTGTTATTCGCTGTTCTCACCATGCTGTCCAACAGATCTGCAGATCTCCAGAATGCTCTTTTTATAATCTAACTTCAGAAGTGACATCCCATTGCCTTTGTCACATTCTATTCATTAGAAATGAATCACCAGGTCTAGCCCACACTCTAGGGGAGGAGGTAGCATAAAAATGTAACTTCCAGAAGAAAAGGGTTATTAAGAGCTGTCTTTGAAACTGCCTACCACTTTGTTACGGTTTTCTTTATTTTTTGTGGGGGAGAGGGTACTGGGGATTGAACTAAGGGTCACTCAACCATTGAGCCACCTCCCCAGTCCTATTTTGTATTTTATTTAGAGATAAGTTCTTACTGAGTTGCTTAGCACCTTGTTGCCGAAGCTGGCTTTGAACTTGCAATCTTGCTGCCTCAGCCTCCAGAGCCGCTGAGATTATAGGCGTGGGCACCGCACCTGGCTATTATGGTTTTCAATGTTGATAAACTATGGAAAAAGTAATGAGGCATAGTTGAGTTATTGTTGGCAAGTTACATTTTTCTACTATCATTTCCTCTGCTTTGGCCATTCTATATTCATGATAGAAATATGAAATGGTTTCCCAGAAAAAGGATGATTTGGGCTCCCCCAGGGGTCATTTGGCAATGTCTGAAGACAATTTTTGCAAGAGCTACAGGAACTAAAGGATCAAGGTCAAAGATACTGCAATATCCAGGATGGCCCGCTACAACAAAGAATTTTATGTGGCCCAGAATGTTAATAGTGCTCAAGTAGAGAAACCCTGCTTTATCCTGATCACAGGAGCAGTATAGCAAAATACTAAAGACCCTGACTTCTGGGTTCAAATTAAAACTCTGATATATACCAGTTCTGTGATCTTGGGCAAATTACTAATCATCTAGGTTTTTTTAATACTTAAATGATCAGAATAATAGAATTCGCCAATATGTCTTACTATTGGAAGTATTAAATGAGTTAATATTTACAGAAAATTGCTAAAAATAGTGTCTGGAACATAGTAAGATCTAAAATAAGTGTTAACTTAAAACCTCTTTTCAGGAATTTCACCAAATTTAAACTAGAGAAACAATACAGTCTGATAATGTCCACCAGTCTCATAATCAAAGAGAAAACCTCAGCCAGATCTTGCCTGCAGAGTTTAGTTCTTATTGGCCACATCAACTCCTTGTGACTGACAGACCACTGTTTTTGCATTTTGTTTCTACAGTGACCTGAAAGTTAAAAATTAAAGTTCTTGGGTTCAGCTTTCATGCACCAGCTGAATCTTTCGGTATTTCTCTGATAGGACCTCCCTTATCTTACTAGGTAAAGCAAGCAGTGAGCTAGGGCTTTCAAACAAAAACTAACAAGGACTTTAAAGTACTCACTGGATTCTATGAGAGGAGAGCCACTCATTGCTAGTCACAAAGGAGGCCATGTCAAGCACAATGAGGAGAACACTCTGAGGCACCCCCAACTATTATAATTATTAACAAGAACTATGTAGAACAAACACACTTTTTTTTCTGAAAGAAACTACATCCTTTGGCTTTTTTCCAGTTTTTTAAAGCAAAATGGTGTGTGTGTGTGTGTGTGTGTGTGTGTGTGTGTGTGTGTGTGTGTGTTGCTCCAGGTAAACTTGACATTGGAATTGCAAGAAGATAGTGGTCATCTACAAGTACATGAGTTTCTCATATATCAAAACAGAATTTTCTTAGGCATTGTCTTTTATTTTAATTCTTCTTGGAAGTTGGAATCATAGGAAAGTTAGAGGAAATGAATCCAGAAAGGGCTTGAAAAAGTAGGCAATGTTCTCCACTTGACATGCAGTATGTCTGGGGACATCTCAGTCTTTTTTAATTTACATAAAGAATAAAACTTCTAAAAGTAATTGGTAACCAGCAGCTTTGCTTTACATTTAAGTCTTCATGTTAGAAGAAAGGATAGATAAATAATTTAAGAATAATTTGCTCTTGGCCATTTATTTCAGTTGCACTCTATCCTATAGAATTCTAGGAATTTTTTTTTTTTAATCTCATCATTTCACCAATGTCTCTGGCTGTCGGGTGGTGGTTTGGGTGATTGTGCCAGAGGGTCATAGTCCCATCAAATGTTAGCTCCTAACGTCATGAGGCTAAGGACCTCTTTCTATTGAGGCCTTCCTCCTGTTTTGTTATACTGCAGCAAACTGACAGTGCATTGGAAAGTTACAAAGTAATTTATGGGCTGTCCAGTGCACCCTTATGTCCTTTTCTATCCTTTAGGCCCCTTTATTTGGCTCACAAGTTGCTTATAGGTTGTTTGTTCTGTGTTTGAACGGGAATATTTTTCCTGTAGAGACTCATTCTTCTCTCTGTATCCCTAAGTTTCTCTCTCAGTGGTATTAATTAAAATCCCATTGATGAACTCTTGGACATCTTTCCAAGAAAGACTCCTTGTAGGCCTTCATTGCATTGTCAAGAGAAGAAAATATCTTCTTGCAGTAATGTAGAAAAATAAATGGTGTGCATGTTACTTTAACAAATACTTTTTTTTTGGATTTAAATTATAGTGATATATAATTTTTTCATGTTTCTTTATGTGAATAAAAATGAAGTTATTCAGCTGGGCACAGCGGCACATGCCTATAATCCCAGACAGTTGGGAGGTTAGGGCAGAAGGAATGCAAGTTTAAGGCCAGTCTGGACAATTTAGAGAAAACTTAACTCAGGATAAAAAATTTAAAAAGGGCTGAGGATGTAGCTCAGTTGCAGAATGCTCCTGGGTTCAATCCCCAGTAATGGGGAAAGAGAGAAAAGGAGGGAGGGAGGGAGGGAAGAAGGGAGAGGGAGAGGGAGAGGG